AACAGACAGTACTCCTTAGAGATTCAAAAGCCTCCCAGAGGAATACAGAGAAAAGACATCTCTCCCTCCCCACCTGCACCCTCAACCCTGTTTCTGCCCCAGCTTTAGAATCAGCAGCCCTTCTGTAATTGCATGCGGTTCCAGAGAGAATCCTTTATTCCACAGAGCTCCCGGGTCTGACCCCGGGAAAGCCTGGTTGGTCATCCTTCTCCCCATCCTTCCAGTCTCCACACTCAACCCCTCCCCACCGTCCCAGGCCACCTCCTTACCTGATAATGTCGTCGTTGTGTCCCAAGAAGAATTTTTGGCTGTGCTCACGGGTGTTGTAAACCACCCCGACACCAGCAACAAAGTAGACCACCTCTTTGCCGGCCGTGTAATACAGGTTGTTGCGGCACTGGTGACCCCGGTACCCGTACACCCACTCTAGCCGGAGCTGGCAGCTGGGAGCTGTCCGATCCGCCATGATAAGCCGACCCCACTCGCCCCCACCCCGCGCGGGTCCTCTGCCGCTCCGCGCCGGCTCTGTCCTCGCTAAGTCTCGGGCTGTGGAGGACCTGCAAGGGCTCAGGGTGCAGCACCGGGCGCTGAATTCCGCGGCGACGCACAGACACAGCCCAGGGCGCCGGCCGCCACCATCATCCGCCGCCGCCGCCGCCGGAGACAAGCCGTCGGTACGCGGCCGCCAGACCCCGCCGGGCGCCCGGGCTCCCTCTCCCGGGGCAAGGCGTCTTCGGGGGCGCCCGTACCCGCGCGCGCGCGCCTCACTGCACCTGCGGGCTTCGGCCCCTGGGAGAGGTCCTGGCGGGGGTCGCCCCGCCTTTTAAATCAGAGATCTGCATATCCAAACACTGATTCCCCAGTTCGCTCAGTGAAGTTTGCAGTGCGCGGGGGCTTCGCAGCAGGCAGCGGGATTTATTCTGTGGCAGCTTTGATTTGACAGGGAACCCGGCTAAGCTTTGCTATCACCATCCTTGGATCCGCAACTGACAGTCTATATCCAGGATGCAAGAGCGAGGAAGAAAGAAACAGAGTTTTTGCATAAGTCACCCAGTCTAAGAAAATGATCCCTAAACTAAACCAAGTTGTTTTATTTTTTAGTTTTTATTTTTATTTATTTATTTATATTTTGTCAGCTACTCTCCCTTTCTCCCTCCAGATCCATCTTCTTAATGATATGAAATATGCCCTAAATGCTGCTGGCTGGTGGTTGCTGATATGATTTGAAAGAACATTTACTGTTTCCTCATTAAGTCAGCGTGAATATGAATGGTCGTTTTTCAGATGATCCAATTAGTTGTTGTGTATATCTTTAAAATTCATATCCTCCGTGAATCCTCTCTTGGCTGAGGAAACCATAAAGAACTTAGCAGTCCTCACTATTCACCAACTCCAATTTCAAGCGTCATAAAAGGGTTTTCTGAATTGGAGGAAACGAGACACTACTCGTGCAGTTGGAGGAAGGAAAGCGTTACCTACAGACGCTCTTGGTCTAGAAGAAATTAAATAATTAACAAGTGACCAAAACCGTGTACCACTCCCCAAGAAGGTCTGTGCTAGCTACAGTGTCCCGCCTCTAGCCCGGTGTGCGGCGGGAACGCCCAAGAAATCGCTCGGGACCGTGCGCCCCCCTCCCCCCCAACACACACACACGCATATCCCGGCATTGGCCACCACGGGTCCGAACGACGCCGACCCACAGGGACACCTCGGTCAGCGCGCACTGCCACCCTGGTGGTGTCCTGGACACCCCATCCAGTCTCGCCCGTGGAGCATCCCCGCTCTCGCCGCCTCTAACCTCTGCTCAGAGCCAGCGCAGCCAGCCCATCCCGATCCCTCGCCAGCGAGCGAAATCCTCTGCCTGCCCTCTCCTTCCCGCCTCCCGCACCCGAGGATGGGCTTCGTCACTGGGGCGCGCGGAGACAGGTTCTTCCTCCAGCCGGGGCTCAGGGGGCGGGGCCACAGAGCAGCTTTCTGCAACCGCGGCCGCGGGTTACTAGGCAAGATCATGGCCCTAGGAAACAGCGACGCCCCTGGGCTCTGGGGCAGCACCCCCCTCCGCACCCAGCTTGCCCCCTTCCCCGATGCATTCTGGGAAGTGTAGTCCTCTCAATGCCAGCTTAAACGGGGAGCGCGCAGAACCAGGCCACAAGTCCCAGGATTCCATGCGCCCTGAGCGGGCTGCGGAGAGGCTGTTATCAGTGTCCGCGGTGCCTGCACTTCACCCGCTGAGCAGAGGAGGGCGCACCCGGGGCTACCTCTTGCCAGCAACTTTCGTTCCCTAGTGTCAGAGGTGGCCCGCTGGCCGCGTGTGTATCTATAGAGAAGAGCAGTGGAGTTGGAATAGAGACAATCTCTACAGCCCACGTCGAGAATTTCTTCTGCACCAGTACCACCAGATTACTGTAGCTGATTCAAGCCCAAATGTGTTGCCTACTTCAGTTTTCCTTTTTATTCAGATGAGTTTTAATCTGTTCAAGTGCAGTCTGCCAAATTTAAGAAGAATACCAGGGGATGTGGTCTTACTTTGCCCCACTTAAGAACAAGTGCCTTCCCATACGCCACCTCCTAGGTTAGAGGACTTGGGTATTCAAGGATAATAGACTTTGGAAATGAGAAGGTGTTCAAGCCATGAACAACTAATCTTGGCCCTCAGACGCAGAAGCTGGTGGCATTTCTCCTACTCAAAGTGAACTGTGAATTTCACTGTATTCTGAAGAAGGCTGTTTTCAAATTATGATCCTAGCTAACCTGTGGGAAAAGGTTTCAAAATCCCAGTGACGAAAAGACTGCAAAAAGGATGATAGAAGGGACATTCAAAGCATGTCCTTACTTTTTCCATTTCTTTTCTCTTTTCCCTTTCCTTTCCTTTCTCTCTGTGTAATCGCTTACTCAGTTCTTTAACTACCTCAAGCTTAAGCACAGCCTTCTGAATGGTAGGAAAGCCTCAGGAAGAAGTATCAGAATACGGATGAGCAGTTGCTGCCAGCAGCATTGAAGAGGATGTGAATTGGTCTCATTATTCTTTTTAAGGAAACAGGGATCTACAAATAGTGAGGTGGCACTGTGCTAGCCAATAAGGGCACTACCAAAAATAAAAACAAAAAAAACATGGCCTGAAAAGGATTTGAGACATAGGCAAAAACATAGATGACCAATTATACTGTGCCATAATACTGTGCCAATGAGTCATATAGAGACAGTAAATTCTATGCAGCAATTCAGCAGTGAAGAGCTTTTCAAGCTATATACATAGTAAGTCAGGAAAGACTTTATGGAGGAAATAGGAAATATAGAGAGAATTGAGATAAGTAAAGATAAATTGAAAGAGCGTTCTACATGAATCTATGGAATAAAAGAATAAGTACAGGGAAACATAGATTTAGCGACACTGAATATAACTGATGCAAGAGAGAATTCATGTAAAATGAGAAGAGGACATAGACCTGAAAGGTTAGACTGTGGATGGAAATGAACCCAGAGTTTTGTACTATATTCTTAAAATAATAGCCACTTAATTGTTGTGTGTGTTTTTTTTTTTAGAAGAGAATAACAAAAATAGTAATAGTCAACGCATGAGGTATTAGAAGCTTGCAGTAGCGCTTGAGGTACTACATTAGAGGTAGTGGCAATAGTCCAGAAAGAAAGAGACATCTTCCTGAGAAAATGCAAAAGCATGTTGAAGGGAGTCTCCTAAACAAATACAAAAGAATGTAACATGACATGTTCCTTTCCTCAGTTATCTTTAATATAACTAATGACCACCATATTACACCAGACTATACTTTAAATGAATTGGAGGAATAAGCTCTGGGTGTGCCATTTATAATGTTACCTCAGGCAAATCACAAAATCTTCTGATCTTTAGTCTACTCGCTTAATAAAGTATAATAATCCTTACCAGGATAGTTGTGAGAATGAAACAAAATGATATACATGTGCAAAGAGTTAGTTTGTAAAGCATTATATAAATGTTAATTCTTACCAAATGGCAAATGACTATAGACCCCAATAAGCCACTTTAAAAAGGCAGAAATTTCTTTCTTACAAGTCTGGAGGTATAGCAACTTAAGAAAATTGTCAGATACCCCAAATCCTCTTATTTATTATTATTTTTTAAGTATTATATTATATTCAGCACAGATATTCCACTTCATGGTTTAAGATGATAGATCAAACTTCAGCATTTACGTTTGCATTCCAGCTAACAGGAAGGAAAATAGAAAATGGGCATAGCCCCTCTCTGTAAAGATATTTTCTGCAAGTTTCATATAATACTTATGTTTACATCCTATTGGTCAAAACTTAGAGTCCATCTAGCTGCAAGAGAGGCTAGGAGTATACATTATATTCTTGAGAGCTGTTGGTACATTTAAAATCAGAAATATTTTACTAAGAAAGAAAGGGAAAAGTAATGTTGGTGTTCCCAAGAATGCTCTGCTGACCACACTCATGAGTCCTTTTCGAAAAATTACCTGACAATGACATTCAGCCAAGAAATGAACAAAAAAAATTCAGAAATGGAGAAGTTATGGTAAAGATGAGATTGAGCATTGAATCAGTTTCCTAGGAAATATTTCTCTCCACTCACTCTTCGGTTTCATTTACTTTTTTTCTTTTGTTAATGAAAGTCAAATTTTTAAAAATCTGGTATAATATGATCCCATTTTCATGAAATTATTTCTATCCATTCAACTATCTGTCCATGAATCTAACCATATCTGCATAGAGATATTATAATATAGATCACCCAAATCTAATCTAGCTACTTCTGGAGCAGTGAAATTTAGAACAATTTGTTGCTGTCTTATTTGTATCTTTTTGATGGTTCAAAAATATTTGAAATGGACATTTTATTAAAACAATGTCATTGCTCTTAAAAATATCTGTTGATGATGAATTGCATTTTTATTGAAATTTTATTTGGTGTCATTAAGACATACCCTATGGTCGATCCATCCACACCCTGTTAACTGTCAAGATCAAGAGCCTGTTAGACCATTGAACAGAGTTAGGCATACCAGTGTAGCTGTTTGACCATGATTTTCTTTATAAATCTGACTAACTTATTTAAAGCTAGATCCTGTAGCCTTGCCCTAATTAGCATTACACATTTGATACCATTTAACAACTAAAAATTGACAATGATATTTCACCAGCTAGCAACTAATGGGGTTAGAGTCCACAATTTTAACCAAATAAAAGACTTACAAATAGTAAATGAAAAAATGCTCAACATTATTAGCCACTATGAAAATGCAAATCAAAACCACAATGAGACACCACTTCACACCCGATGGAATGGCTATAATCAAAAAGGCAATTACGAGCATTAGAGAGAATATGGTGAAATTGGAACCCTGATACATTGCTGGTGAGGATGTAAAATGCAGCTGCTTTGGAAAACAATCTGACAGTTCCCTTAAAAGTCAAATTTAGAGTCACCATGTGACCCAGCAATTCCACTTTTGGATATATACCCAAGAAAAATAACATACACCCACACAAAAACTTGTACATAAATGTCCACTGCATTACTCATAATAGCCAAAATGTAAAAATAATCCAAATGTCCATAAATTGATGAATAAATATGTATATACATATAATGGAATATTATTCCTCAATGAAAGTAAATGAAGCACTGATACAAGCTATAATATAGAACCTTGAAATTATTATTCTAGATAAAAGAAGCCAGTCACAAAAGACCACATATTGTATGATTCCATTTCCAGTCAGAATGTTCAGAAGAGGCAAATCTATGTAGTCAGGAAGTGGACTAGTGGTTTTCTAGAGTTGAGAATAGGTAGGTGGGGGAAATATGAGTGGATACAGGATTTTTTTTGGGGGGGTGTAATTAACATGTTCTAAGATTAGATTGTGATTATGGTTGCATAACTCTGAAAATACTAAAAACCATTGAATTGTATGCTTTAAAATGAGTGAATTTACAGTATGTAAATTACTTAGCAATAAAGCTAGTTTTAAAAA